TAGCATAGACTACAGACTGATCTTGAATGGTCATTTGAGCACCTTGTTGAGTCACTGCCTGTTTGCATGTGTGTGTATGCGCTAAACGGGTTTATCGTCGCATTTAGGAGTAAAACTTCTACAATTTAAAGTTCATTCTTACTTTTTTTGGCATTTAATTTGTTTGGAGGCTTAATTTATTGCTAAACTCCCACAATTACTCTCGGTGAAAGCATACCCTACATAGAGATAATGGGAATGCACAAATCATTTGATTAGGCTCATGCAGAGATTTTACAACTCAAAGCACTGTATACTTCAAGAGCAACAACGTCGAAAGTGTAAAGGTTTTCTAATTTCTTTAGCTGTAGAATTTTAGAGAGAGGGGGGAGGAATGAATAGAGATGTGGGTGATTGGCCGACAACTATAAATTACAACTTTGGCAAATACTTATTTCAACTCATGTAATATTATGCATGAAGGAATTGATGTATACTGCGATGAAGTACATTTACTGCACCGAAAAGGTGAATCAAGTTGAAATGCGTAGACTAGAGTCAAGTGACAATTTGGCAGCTACGAGTACCATCGGCAGAAGGGGGCAGTTAAAAACACCAGGCATCAGTCACCTAGGGATTTGAGCTTGTTTTTAACAAAAAATTAAACTTAGTTAGTAGAAAAGTGATGGAAATATGAACAGGAGGCCTTCAGGAGATGGAGACACTTAACTTACCACTGTCAACCGTAAGGCGAGAGAGAGACAAGCCGACTTCTGCCTCCCCTTAACTGGCGGAGTGTGAGATGCCTGAGTGCTTGGCTGACGCGTCTCATTTGTATGCAAAGGTCATGCACCAACTTCTCATTTTTTGGATTGGCCAGATAGAAAAATACTCTCACAGGTACGAAAACATGAAAAAATCACTTTGAGCTATTGGAAAAGTTGCAAGGTCAGCAAGAAAACAACTGCATTGGTTGTTGATGGGGGTGTTTACGATTGTAGTTTCTGGATTGCAGTAAATGCTCTCTTTGTAAAGTGAAACCAGAAAGCTGACAAAACGCACTTTTTCCCTTTTTAGCTCCAATTTTGTGTGCTTATAGTGAAAGCCCTCGAGTATTTATGAAGCCAAATTGTCTAAACCTATCGTTTTCAGGGCTACTTACGAGGTAACGCCAGTGGTGGGCAGCGGAGGGCTTGTCAACCTGACGTGTAGATGTCTGCATAGTTTGGGCACAAGTGTGCATCACTTCTAGTATCCGGACATCAAAGAGGCTGGGTCAGTTATGAACCTTACTTTGCATAGTCTCGGATGGAGCCATTCTAACTCATTCAAAAGGTATTTATGATTTATTCTTTTGAATTTTAAGAGGGGATCAACACTTTTTCAAGATTCTCAGAATGTTTTAATTAAAATTTTGGATACTATTTGACTGGTAGAGCACAGTAACACATTCGACCCCAGCGTCACGTATATGTGACACCCAGTTCTCTTGTTTGATCTCAGCATCAAACTTTTGTTTGGATTTAAAACAAGGAAAAAGGGTGCAGAATATTCCCGATGTATTAAATACAGGTGGTCAACAGAAGTTTTCAAAGAGAATCAAACTGATGTTGATTACTTCTTGCCACAATTCACGAAAGATCATCCCGCGCTTAGGCTTTTCCGAATGACCGACTATCTCTGATGGGGAATGGTATTTGCGCTTTATTTTAATGTTCTTTAACCAAACTATCATATCATTCTTCATCTCCATACCATCCAGTTTTCAAAGACATGCACCATTTTACTTATAAAACACTACGCCTTCTCCATGGTTACGTGTAATGGCCTGCTAACAGACTTGTTCGACGGAGATCTTACACTTATTGGAGGTCATATAATCACTTCTGTTCGTTTGATACAATTTAATGAGACTCGAGGGTGTCCACGAAACTTTTCTTGTTAAAAAAATTCGTTGGTGAGAAATTTGCGTCTAGCTAGGACGGGTTGGAGAGGAAGGAGTGGAAAGGTACCGCCGCATCCCCATCATTCTCCGTATGCCTTTGAGCCTCTTTAGCTTTCCTAAACGGTACTTTGACAACCACGTTATTCCATGAGAGATACAGATGAGAGTGAGGAAAAAAGAGTGAGACAGGAAAGAGGGTAACTTGGCTGAGGTTACTTGCTTCCAGGGCCGAATTACCGAATGAGGATTTACAACAAAAGTGCTGTCCCTTGCCAAGGAATGACACAAATGATTGATGATTAAGATGTCCTCTACTTAATTTACAATTCTGCATAAATTTTTTTCACTTATTTTATTGTTTACTAATTAATTTATTCCTAGGTATTAAAGTTATTCCAAATTCCTTTGGATAGGGTATTCGTGCTGGTCAAATGTTAAAAATATGCATTCATGGATCATCCACCGCCACTCTTACCGCAAGACAGTAAAGGAAATTTGATGGCGGGTTTCTTGTCATGTACTCTGCATTGTCACTATTTACTTGCAAGATACTGCTCAATACGGAACCATTTTTTGAAGGTTGACATATCCCACTTAGTAACCCCTCCTCAGAAAGCGCAGTCCAAGAGTCAAAGTAGTCCCTTAAATTTCCACCGTTTCTCCAATTTCTCTTTACTCTTGACAGCAGTTTAAATAACCCTCAGCTATCTATAAGAAGTGTACTGTCATGGTGTCAAGTTCTTTTTTAATGCACAACTTGACACTCGGTTGTCGCGCTCACGATTGGCATTAGAAAGGAGAGTGAACCAAACAGCCGCCGAGATGTAAACTATTGTTCCGGCAAAGGCGCCTATTTATCCTTAATTTTGTTTTGTCTCCTCAATATGACCAACTTCCTTTTGAGTAAAGTTGTCATGTAGGTGTGACACACGAGTCTAGATAAGAAGTTCTTGACGTCAAATATGCGTGACGACCGTGGTAAATGAGTTAGGTAACCAAAATTAGCCTTAATTTTCACAGATCATCAGTTTTAAGTCATTTTAGTTTTACAGATCCACAGAAGAGGTCTTTCTTTCGTGTCTTTTTTCTGTTGCTATTCAACCGATCTCTTAAGATGTATGCCTTCTTTGAGACGTCAGTGCAAGGGACCTAGTTTATGGGTAGGGTTAATTTCTCCCCTCCACCATCAGCGTTTTTTTCTGTTTACCTGTAAAAGCCTCTTAATTAATTAATATTTTTACTGAAGGTTTTACAGAGAATAATAGTAAAGATCCACTCTACCTAATTAAAGTGTATCCCGTCCCCAATTCCTGATTAACCTTTAAAAAGGGGGAAATGGAACAGAGCTTTCAAATTTGGCTACACTGACTCTACTTCTAATTCTTGAAAGGTAGATAGAATTCCCATTGTATGTGTTTAATTAATCAAAGTTTTTTTTTAAAAAAAACGGAGCCCATTCTTAGATATTTTGGGGTAAAGCACTTGCAGATGCCATATCATGGAACACATATTTGAATGCCCTTAAGCTAAAAATCCTTAGTTATTTAAACTCGATGTGACCTCTTTAACCCTCGTGATTTGTACTTCCATCCTTTAGGAAGGGGTAGAAGGTCATATCTGCAGTTTTACCGATCCTCCATGCATTAATGCTCCACCACTCTTCCATGATGGTGTGCCTTATTACAGCCTCTGCGGTCATTTACATATTCACAGAGTAAATCAAGATGGGATGGACGTTTTTGATCATTTGGTAGACACTTACACGAAACTTGCCTTCAAGTACCTCACAAAATCGCCTTAAATATAATTTAAAGACGTTTCTTATTTGAACACCCAAAAGGGTGGAACCAAAAAGGCAAATTTTAAAGATTTTGCATGAAGACCTTTTACTGACACTTAGGAAGCCAGAGGTATGTCGGGAACCTTTATCCCTCACATCTTTTGTCACCTTCTTCTGCATATAACTATGCCGCTGTGCAAACATTCCTACATTGAATAACCTGGAGTGTTTTGCTCCTACCCTCGGTCTCCACCATGGCACTTAAAAGGGCGCCATTATTTTGCCTTTGGCACTGAAGGCTACAGAGCTATGAGGTGATTGCCAGCGTTCTCAAGTTGAATCCAACCTTGAAAAGTTGCGCACTCCATTGGAATGCTTATAATGAGTTGGATTTCAAAAACCAACTGACTATAAACCATCTGATTATACTTTTACATTTTCTGATGAATGTTACAAACTGAAAAGTTGTTTACAACATCCCTACATCCCCTTACTTTTCAATTTTTTCAGCGTCATTTGGCGTTGACCTATGATCGCTCCTGGAACACAAGTCAGGGGTTCACTGTGGTCAAGTGGCGGTTAAATCAAGTGCTAAGACTTGGATAACTTTTCTCCCTAAAATTATGCCAGAACATTCCTTTATTTTTAATCCAAACGAATTTCTAGCACCGAGTAACGGATACACAGCATTAAGATCTCAACATGACAGTGAGCTATTGAGTATCAGTGTCACACATGGGAAATTCGGGAAAAAATAAACGAATTATGCATTAGTCAAATAATAATGAAAATGTGGACTTTTAAAGTGCGGAGAAGTTTACTATGACCTAAATACACATTTTATTTTATGGTCTTTTTGTTGGTCGGCGTAATAAGTTTTAAGTATTATGCAAGAAACCAGAGAGACGATACGAATCCTCAAGATTTTGATCTTTTTTGGAAATAAATCAAAGTGCTCGCAGAGGTCTGCCAGATGCATACGGAGGCTTAGTCATTCATTTGCATGAATTACTAATGCAGCGATTCACTGAGGTGGCGTAATAAAAAAAGTGTGGAGATTGGGGAATGAGAGTACAAGAAAAGTTGAGCATTCGCGAGAATCAGGCACATTATGAGCAAAAAGTCGCCACTTTGTAGTTGACAAAAAAAAAACAACCCTTGGACGCTTTTTTGGAATTGGATCGAGGATTTATTAGCATGAGGTGAAGGGAAGGCAGAAAAAGCCTACAGTAAATTGAAACGTTTTTTCGGGTTTTTCCCCCACCTCCGCCACCCTGTTTTGCTGCAGGCTTCGACTCATTCGACTGCTTCCGTGATGGCCAACACAGAAGAATGAGTGTTGAGAATGCGGGGCTGAGTACGCCAACAGAGACATGACGGAAGCTTTGTGGCACATTGACATTCCAACGTTGGTGAGTGAGTCTTTTCACCCTTCTGGACATTAAATTCTAGTTTCATCCATTTCCCTTATTATCGTAGTTTTTCAGCTGCTCCTTAAATCGAAAAACAACTGCCTTCAAATCGTTTCTTCTTACGCTGCCTTTAGGAGCGGCTCATGGTTTAAAACATCAAATAGTCGCATACATATCCTTTCAAATATTTCAAGTCCACTAGTAATTCTGTCAACCGTGTTTGGTTGATACCGGAGTCAAAGGTGCCAAGTAATTCACCGAAAAATTATATAAATCTGATTTATTTCCAGACATAGGTAATGCCGAAGCGTAATGTGTATTTAGGGAGAGAAGAAGTGATTTCATAGGAATTCGTCCCCACTTCATCTGGCAAGGATGAGTAGATAAGAGAAGGAAAGTTCATTTGCATCTTCAAAAGTTAACTGACTCTCTGTGGTACTTTCGATAAAGAAAGAAGATAGCTAGAACAATGGCACACACAATGACAGCCATTACACCACCAGCTATGGCTCCAACTTCTTCCGCCTTTTTGAACTTCTCGTTAAAATCTTTGGCCGAGGAACTGGCATTCAAGCTTGGTGGTTCAGACGGATTTAACTCGTTGACAAAAACGATGATCTCCGGAAACTCCGTTGTACTAACGGCAGTCTCATTCAATGTTTGTGATGTGGTAAGGGTAAAGTTTGTAGGAAAATCGGTTTCATTGCTTTTCTCCGTGGCGTTCACTGGCATCGCCGTGGAGATAAAGTTGAGAGGAGATGCAACGCTTTCTGCCGTATTTGGTAACGGAACGGCTATAGCTAAGGAGAAGATGAGTAGGCAGAGATGAAAGAAAAACAATAGTTGCTTAAATGATTCTGCTGATAATAGACCTATTTAATAATTAAGATTAATCCTATGAGAGGAATTTTCAACGCTGAAATGCGCGATATTAAAGGAATCGCATTGGGCATCGCATTTTGGTGATTTAATGGATACACCAAGAAAGAGAAGAGATTTTGCCAAATTAGGCGCAGCCTTAAGGAGAAATATGGGAGTAGGATTCTATGAAACAAAAAAACCGAAGACCTATAAAAGCCGTAAAAAGCAAACTTCAGAGAAATCTAAAATTATCTAATAAAACTGTAGCGATAAATATTAATGACACTTTTTCATTTAGCTTATTTGCCAAAACGAACGGAAAGAAGTGAATTAAACAACTAAGGTTGTCTCTGCGCCTGCGAAATACACCGTAAGCATGGGCTTAGAACTAGTTGTTTCATCTACTTAATTTAACTAAGTAGCATAAAAGAACGAACTACATCGGTTTCTTGTACTTTACGCACCTTAACAAAAAATAAAGTTTTCTTTTAAAATTATTAAAATACACTACAAAATTGTTTCGACTGCAGTTAGATTGTGTTATTTAAGCGCGGGGACTAAGAGATACGCAAATGAAGCGAGTCATTATTAAATACCTACCCAATTAAGGATGTAAAATACATTCATAATTTTCTCTAACTTCACGAATGTTCACCGATTACCACAAATTAGTAAAGCAATTTAAAGTGTACCAAAAGTTATTATAATACTTACACTTAATGCATCTACTAGAGGGGGATGTGGCGATTATAACGTCACCATACCGTGCAGACAGGAGAACAAGACTACGTGTGCAGGTTAGCCGTGGCCTCAGTCTTGGCAGAGAGTCGCGACGTTCTAAACTAAAGGTGACTCACGCCGCTTAGACGAATGTAGGCGCAACCGTGACCTCTACACAAGCCGCCTGATTGGACACCAGGCGTTAGGCGTCACCCACAGAGTCGCGCCACTCTTACACAGCGCACAGTTCATGTTAGCTCCCAAGGGCTGTCTCTGGCGGGAGCCTTTGACTTTTCATCCTTTGGTGGTGCATTATGAGATAAAATAACCACCCACTTGCTGCTAATACGACCTAATTCCACCACTGGGAGGAGGAGGAGGATGAGGAGGAGGAGGAGGAGGAGAAGGAGGAGGAACTTACACAGCCAATTACACTCTTCTAGAAATAATACGCCTACTTAAAGAGAAAAGGCACTTTCTTACGTAAATTACACATATGCACGCAGTATTTCCGTGGCCTTTTCTCTCGTGGTCTTGTACCATGGATAAAATCTCTACCGTACTTTCTCCAACAAAATTCCGCACCCATATTTTGTGATTTGAATGCTTTGTCCTCCCTTGCGATTAGAGAGAGTTATGTTAGCATTTCAGATGGGCCTTTTGTGAGTCTGTGGAAGGAATCCACTTCAACAAACGAGATTGGCTTCTTGACAAATTACATATCAAAAAGAGTGGTACAACTGCGCTTCTGGGCGTCAGTTTACACCATTTTTTGTCCTCTAATGGCAAAGAAGAAGATTTCGTGACTTTTAAGTGTTAAATACACTTTTAATATACGTGGATAACTCCTTCGCCCAGCAGTGAATGGCGGTGCCGACATCGTCTAATTGGCTGAGGAAGCGTCATGTCAATACAGAAATTTTTAAGTTAAAAGCTGACAATTTCTTTAGCAAATAACTATTGTTTGATTAAAAATTTACTTATGGTCTTATTTGTCTCCAAGAATAAAGAAATTTCCAGTCGTGGAATCACAAATCTCCAACACTTATGACAAAGTATCTAGAAAGTGGATTGTCACGGTAATCCGATTACTCGCCATAAATGAGGTAGTAAACAACAAAAAAGACAAAATAAATATAAAAATCACAGTTAACAAACCATGCTGTTGCAAAATTTTGCGCAAAGTGTCAATTTATTTTATGAGGCTCTAGGAGGTTTTGATGCCAAAACAGCTAGACTTTCCGCCATACATGGGTACGCCGACTATATTTCAGTAGCAGTTTGGACAATCACATGATTGAAACAAGGGTAATAAAAAGGATTGAAACAGGCAGTACACATAAAATACATTCATGAGAGCATTAAATAACAAGAGGAGAAGGTATGTTTACACCTTAACCTAATAGGCATTTTGAGTATAAAATTGAGAAGAGGAAAGAGGATGAAATGTATCAAAAAAGCGTTCCCCACCTGCAATGGGAAGGAGGCAGAGAGCAGCACAAAAGTGATCTTCCATTGACATTTTAACTTAGGCTTTAGCTTGCGAATGTCGGTGTTTATGTTAGTTGCTCTCTGTGTGTGGGTTACATCTGACTCCCTGTACTGTGAGTCGTCGGCTGTGCTAAGCGGAGGATTGGTAAATAGAGCCTGACAACCTTTGGACTCACCGATCTACTGATCAATCCATACCACATATTTACCAGTCATTTAGGTACAATCGGTCCTCAGAAGTCAACGCGACAGGAAGACGCATTCACGCGATGAGAATTGGGAGTAGACTTTACGATTTTGGCGACGTAATTACATGGGGATGAGATATCCGCCTGCAAAAATAGTCTAGTATCTGTAATCTTGAATTCAAAGAAGACACCCTATCCACTTGTTCATCCATCTTTCCATTTATCCTGTATCCATCCAACCATCCATTCCGTACCCATGTAATTTTCATCCATCCACATATCCATCCATCCATCTGTGTCTGGACGCGTATGCGTTTCTCACGTGGAGATGAATCATTGCGGACAGCTATGCCACATTCGTCAGATGTTTCTTTCA